GGAAGGGGCCACGTTACAATGTGTTGCAACGACGTGGACGTGTATGTGTCTCTCATTGCATATCCCTAAGCACGAACAGAGACAGAGATCATTTTCGGGAGATTACAGCGTCGATATCTGAATTTTCCGAGATTAGATCGGCTTTTCTCCCCGATATAAATAAATTCCGCGTAGCGAGAGCCCATACTTCTCGATCCTTATCGTTTAACGGCTCTCCGCCGTTTCTCGTCGGCTTGATAACGTGCGGCGGAAGGGACGAGTAGACGGAATTGGAAATTCTTCAAGCTGAACTCTCCAACGCTCGGAAGCAAAACCCGTTTCTCCCTTCGTATATACCTCTAATCCAATAACGTCGCGAACTACCTTAAACGCCGGGTAATCTAGAAAGTAGAGCGGTCCTTTTCATTGTTGTTTAAACGCAGGATAATGTTATACTTGATCATCGCCAAGCACGTGTTTGCATGGTCAAACGTGAAAAGCAGGCAGCCGCATGACGACTAGAGTCATCCAACTCGGACGAGACGATAAGCGAGATAAATGCGTCAATGCATTTCCACGGATCAATCTCCGAAGAAATTCATTTCTTTTTCATAATTAATCCGCTAATTGTGAAACAATTACGCAAAACCAATAATATAGAGATAATAACAAATGCACAAAGTGCACGGATTATAACAAATGCACAAGGTGCACGAATTGTATTTTTTTCAAAGTGCCCGACTTTGTTGAATAATGGGATGCCATTTCAGACTTTACCTACGAGGAATATAAATTTAAAATAATTCTCTGTCTAGAGTCATTTTAAATTTATACTTGTTTTATGAAATTTTCATTTCCGAATCCGAATTTTCTATAAATTTATATCTTGATAATTAAAACCTAATGTTTTTCCTAAAATAAAATTAATGCAGATTTATTTTATCGTTGCTTATCTTTTCCTCGATTTTTCTTAATTTATTCTTTACAACACATGCTTGAAAAGACGTCCCATGATTCTGGGACATATGAAATACATACATATACAATTTACTCAAAGAAATAAATAACAAATTTTGAATTAAGCTATTATTCCCTAATATTACTTATTCATTTACACTAACCAAACTATTTAACTAACTATTAGATTTATCTCAGCCTCGTCCAAATCACGACTTTAATCGCCATTCGATTATACTTCGCATGTTACATACGCATCTCACACACACACACACACACACACACACACACACACACCAGCGCATAAATTTGGTGTGTGTGTGTGTGTGTGTGTGTAATACATATGCCACTTAGATATATATCATCTTTGCACTATCTACGGGTCTCTACATATACTCTTTCATTTCTGTTTTCTCTATTATAGCGAAGATGCTGACTATGCTGATTTGTGTTCATACTTATAAGGTAGCTACACCGCCAAAGAGATATACTCTGACACCCATAATCATGATTTTCTTTCATTTTCTTATCTTCCTCGACATTTGTACAATGAGAAGGCATTGTCGGCGCTCATCATTGCGCGCTCGCACGATCCCGGATCGCTCTGCCCCGTTATTAAAAGCATATTAACGATGATGTTCGGTGGATCATTGGTGCAAACGCCACCGCTAATAATCGGCGCCACGAGTAACGATCGACAATAATAGTACATAACGCTGTACGCGCGCATGCACATTGCGTAACATCGTTACGAAATAAACGATTTCCCGTTTCGATTAACGTTCGCACTCGCCTCATTTCTGTTAAACAATTTACTTCTCTCGCCAGCTACTACTCAATTTACAGCTTAAATTAAATCCGAATAACAGTTTTCTAATGACGATTACTCGCCCAAGGTAATCGAACGTTTAAAAAATTCCAATTTTTAGACAGCTTTACACTTTAACTTAAACAGAAGTATAATAGAGCGTATAATAAAAAGGAAAGAGAAAAAGAGAGAAAGAAAAAAGAAGAAACAAGGTATATAACAACAAAATTTGATAATCTGTACATATATTACGTTACAAAAGATTACGTGCGAATTATTTATATTTATAAAATAAATATAAATGTAAACTTTACATAAATTATTTTCGAAGATTATCGAAACTTAATCGATTTTGCGTATACGCAAAGTATGTGCAAATCACCCGAACTCTTACGTTGTGAATCAGAACCACTATCGCATCGTGACTGATCTTTCCTCTCTTTTCTTTCTCCGCTTTCTTTATATTCACATGTAGAACATAAATGAAATTATGTTAAAACTAAATAACAGTAAAGTTCTTTCCTGGAAACTGAACTTTCTCTCTCCAGTCTCTTTCTCGGGAGGAGGGAGGGGGAAAGAGAGAGACATGAAAAGCGCGACAAGTCGTTCTTGGAGCAACAAGGCATTTCTATTAGATTGCAATTAAAAAAAAGACTCGCTGGGAGTACTATGCGATGTCAATTTTTCGCTTTCGCCTACTTTTTTTCTCTCGTTTCCGGGCTGTTATTGATACTAGCTGGCCGGTCCGGTCCGGTCGGCTGTCTTACTTTCGATAAATAATCCATTCCATAAATATTAATATACAGCGTACAATGTACAGTATGTATTCTTACGCGGCCGAGAGGCTTTATCTAAACTATATGGGCCGGTAAGGAGTTGCGACAAGAATATCTTCCTAGTTTACAGCGAGAGAGATAGAATACAGTTGGATTATCTCGTTTTACACCTTCCTACAATACGATAATAATATATACGTAATATTGTCCTGTTGCACTCGGTCGCCGGTAGCTTTAAGCGCGATGTCGAGCAAAAGAAAGGATATGCAGATGTAGAATGTTCGACAATAATATTGTAAATTGCGATAGAATATTTTATACCGACATAATCCGATCGTATGAGATAAACGAGGAAATTCGTGCGTTTTTCACAGATAAGAAGTAAAGAAGATTTCGTAAAGAAGATTTGCTTATGAAGCCAGTGTGCATTAATCAATCTAAATTAGCATACATAACGCGTATATCATTCTCGATGTGTTTTAATCTGTGTGGTATTACTAGAAAAAAGAATTCTTCTAAACGCATCTATGAAAACTGCACGAATTCTTCTTCATTTACACTCGATAAATAATATTATGTAGTAACAATATAATATAGAATATATTGATACAATACAATAATATTATGTCCTTTAGTGTTATTTAATAGTATTAATTTTAACATTAATAATATTAAATAATAATCGCATCGTCGATTTTCACATCATCGTTCTAGAGCTACCGGCGACTCTTGAAGAACTCGCGCGATCTCTGCGATCGAAGCTCGACTCGTAGCTACCGATTTTACAGACTAACTAACACCTCGCGGCGGCCGGTTTACGCTCAGAGAAGATCCTATACGCGTTCATATTATATTATACAAAAATACGTCTCGACTACACGAAGTGTGAAATCAATCGAGAGAGCGAACAAACTAAAAACGGAAATGTACATCGATGAAGGAAAGGAAGCAATTCGTTGATACCAAGCCCGAAGATATATCTGGCCGCTTCCTCCGCCTCGCATCTGCATCCGCCCGAGTAACGCTGTTAACTTTTCACGCTTCACACAAATCGGCTTTACAGAAATATATATATATATATATATATATATATATATATATATATTCGTTCCTTTTCGAGAACCCTCGGGAAAAACTTTTTCTCTCAATTATCCTATCAATATGTATACACATCTATTTATATTCGATATACGATATACGAAATTGACGAAATTGAAAATATCAAGATTGGCAGAATAAAAATGATTAATGATTAATGATTAGCGACATACTCTTAAAAAAATGCTAAGAGCGGTAAAAAATATTATAATAGATATAAAAACTCAGTATCTACAATAGCCACAGTCTCTTTGATCAGCCAATTTTGCTAATGTCGATTGGCGTTAATTGTAGTCAACTCGATCTTTCATCATTATTTATATTACAGCAAGAATATTACGATTCAGAAATAAATGAAAAAGTCAAACTACAGTGATAGCTAATCGCCATTAGGAATATCAAGGTTTCCTCTCTTTCGAGACGTAGCGTTAAAAGAATATGTATAAATAGGAAAAACCGAGCAGAAAGGAAAATGTAAAAAAATACTAAAAATAAAAACATATACATGCGATATCCGCGATTCATAAGCACTAATCCCATGATGTGTACGAGACTCTAATGAAAATATCATTCTATTGAGAAAACTGAATATCGTCCACCTCATAATTTGGTCAATCACTCGCGAGAATCTTTGTCTCATTGCAATCTTTGTAACAGACTTCTATCGACTAGCACTGCGCACGCTGCGTGCATATCGTCACTACAAGAATTTCTATCTTTTCTCGCTTTTTTTCCTCTCATTTTTCGGCCGCAGTCCAAATCCAAATTCGAGCGTATAAGCGCGGATAAATAATCAAATCAGTTATACAATATACACGCTATATATCGATAGAGCTTCATTTTCTGGCGACAACGACATTTATAATTTGACGGGAATCGAGGGTGTATCGACGAAATCCCAAAACGGAACGCCCGCAACAGGATATTGACTGCATCGATAGTACCGTGCTTGAATCACATAGATTCATGTTGTATTCGTAATTATTTTGCGTCCGCGTTCTGGCCTTAGCTCGTTTAATATACTTACATTATCTATCTAATTAAGATATCTTCGAACAGTATACAGATAAAGAACATTTAATGAGTCCACCTATTCGTCGTTTCATTATTCTTATATATGTATATATTCTTCTTATATATGTATATATATATATATATATATATTTATATTTATATTGTGTGTGATATATATCATATATCTTTATCGCGTATTTAATATTTAATACTTCGACAAAAGAATTGCCTCAAGATTCTCTCTTTTTTCTCTCCTTTGCATCATACCCAAAAAACCAATTCACAAAACAAAATATATATATATATATATATATATATATATTATATTATAATAAGAGGATATGCCCGATGTGAATTTCTATCTCGAGTTTTTTTCAATTTTAGCCTACTGGCTTCTTTAACATTAACGCGGACATTGGTATGTGCAATCGTCAGCTACGTGTATATAATCTAACGCGAATACGTTTAGAACCATAACGAACCAAGTGTCTTTATCGTATTCGATAACGCACTCTTACAGACCTCATTATCGGATATACAATCTCCCCCCTCCCGTTCCGCCTTAATGTAAAAACTAATCGTTTTACCTAAATATCGCTACATAATTACGGAAATCTTTCATCGAACTTAGAAAATGCATCTTCGACAATAGGCTTACTCGACGTATCAACGAAGAAAAACTGTTCAGCGCGGCACACGGCGCAATACTATCACAGTTAATCCTCACCAGGAAAATTCATTGCATGTTCGTGTTATTCTAAACGCAATTCGCGTCCGAACAACTCTCAATCTAAGCTACATAATTAAGTCCGCCTACGGACTTTCAAGGCGGAGAAAAGCGCCCTGTCTACGCGTGGTTCCTGTAAATATCGGTCGAAGTTAATTCGGACTCAACTTGTCTCTTTTCACATAAAAAGTAGACAGATATTCACCTAACAACATTTAACTTTCACCGATGCTCACGGGAAGGACGCGATATCGGAGTAACATCATATTGTATACTCGGCGAGAATATTACAGGAAGTATGATACAATTTATCGATTGTATTCATAGTGAGACGATTTGAATGACAATCAATAATCAGAGATTGATGGTCTAACAGAGAAAAGCGGGACACATTAGCTTTGTTTCTTTTCTTTCTAGGCATATTACACGGTATTTACAAAACGTAGCTCCGTCTTCTTAATTCCATTTGGAATCCTGGAACAGTCATTTATAATCTGCTTTAATATAAGAAAATGTAATGTCATTTCTATTAAAAAAACACTTGACTTAATAATCTCACTTAATCTACTTCTCTACATTAAGAATTATATTCAATATTTACATAATTACCAAAACAATTTTAAAATAATATACTTTTTGTTTTGATTAGCATCAATTAGATTAATGATAATGCTATATAATGATAGAGGTGAGCATGTGCAATCATTAGTAGCGGAGTAGCCAGGTTTTGTTCATTGTAAAAAATCTATTTTAGACTATCTATAATTCTATCATAGACTATATATCATAGACTATATATAATTCAATCTATAATTCGAGGCAGAATTAAATTGTATGTATAACTCAATATAAAAACATTTACGAATAGAATTAATATTATGCAAATAATAATAAACAAGATAATATTACAATATTTTACTCACAACATGATAAATTATTGACGAAATTCTGCTACGAATTACAGAGTATCTTCAAGATTAACAATTTGGAAATCTTGAAGTGAATATTATAACACTTATTATTAACTACAAATGTATAAGTCACAAAATGATTATTGTACATTAATCCCTCAACATCAAAGTAACACCTATCCAACGCACTTGAAAAGAAATATAAAGATTCAAAAAATACAATAAACTCTAAAATTTAAAAAATAAAATATACAATTATACAAAATTACGGCAAGATAATTCTCGCGTTGATAGAATCATGTGCCAAATTATTAGCGATTAAATGCGAGAAAGTAAAATTCGATATCAATGCGAGAATATTATCTGTCGTAAATTTCAGGATTGAAATCCTTAGAGGACACGCATTTCTATCATTCTACTATTATGCCACGAGATCCTCAGCAACGATACGACACACAGAATGATAAGTGAGGGTAGGTACCTAATCCCTTCACAGAGCACCAAAGGGATCGAGTTGGACAGCATTGCCTTGTGGCTGAGCTGCTGCAGCGGGTTGAGATTGAGGATGCTGCTGCTGCAAATTAGGACCAGCCATCATGGGATTCGCACCAGGCATGGCCATCATGGGTGCAGCTCCTCCCGCAACCATCATACCGCCAGGAGCGGCGGAAGCACCTGGGATAGTACACATCATCGGCCTCATACCCTGCATACCCTGCATACCCTGCATGCCCTGCATGCCCATCGGCATACCTTGCATACCCTACAGACACCAGAGAGCGAGAGAAATGAGATGTATGTACAAAAGGAAGCATGTGCCTGCGAAACTTAACGTCTTCCTTAACGCTCAAAATAATGACGAGACTGATCGTTCATTACTTTTGCATTATTTAAATAATTAAATTTTGAGCAATGGCTGGAAAGAAGAAAAATACACTAAGAGCTCTTTATTCTATCTTACGGAATACTCTGAAATTGCAATTACATTAATAATTTTGATAGAATCGCGTATATCGTAAGTGTGTATTCTGTAAGATAAAATAGACACTATAAATATTTATTTCCATCATTTTCAAATAATAAGAATCAATTCTCTCTTCAATTCTTTTCTCTATTTTATATTCGCAACGTTTCTTTTTCGCAGAAAATATATAGCTTAGCCTGTTTTAATATATGTTACCTGTACATTGGTGTAATATTTATACACAAACGCGCATTAGATAAAACTAAAACTTATCTACGTTATCTACATTACGAATTAACACTTGAAGCAAATTACAGCCAAGGGAAATAAATATAAAAATTAATCTATAGGGATATAAAATATTACTACATTCTCGAGACGTGCGTTAAAATTACATATCAATGCATAAGCACATAATGCGAAGAAATGAATCGAGTTTGGATTCGTCATCTTTTGATGATTTGTCGCTTCGTCTCGTGAAATTGTTATGCGATTTGTACAACGATTGTCATTATTGACAGAGTGAGTTAGTGACAATTCGTGTTATCACACACTATTCTTGTACAGAGACTCGTGATCTGGTGAGGTGAGATGAGTTTGGCGCTTTATCGCTTGTTAGACAACTCGTTCGCTGTCTGTGAAACAAAGACGCTCGTGATCGTGGGACTTACCATCATCGCGGTCTGTGATGGGAAGCCTATAGTTGTGGTGGACGTAGGTAGCAGCTGCGTCATTCCTTGACCCTGCAACACAGCCGATAACATGCCATATGCCATGCATGCATTACACTCACCTAAACGGTGCTAATTGAGAAAATTGTCGTTATGATATTATGAAGAGAGCAGAAGAGTCCCACGGCGGACGAAATGTGTGCTTAATGGTAAATTTGCGTTAGAGAGAGCTAAAGGTATGAAGGATGCTACGTCGCTAACAAGCTAAGATAATTTACTAGTCTTCAGAGTGAAGGTTCTACAACGTGATAAAAAATTCAGACAAGTTCGTTAAGGAATAGACAGTCTATGATCTACGGTTTCTAAATGTAAGGATAAAAATTCTATCGAAAACGTGGGAACTGTTTTTCGAAAGATATGCATAGCAACGGCAGTGTACGTGTGTGTTTGTGTACTAACAATCAGAAAAGAAACATGCTGAAGATATTGACGAGAGAGAGAGAGATTAAAAAAGGAACTCACCATGGGTCGATATCCAGCACCAGTGGTAGCTGCCATTGGCTGTGGTGACCATCCGCCAGCTGGACCACCTGTTTTCGCGGCGTTTTTCGGTGAGTTCCACTGCATTCCTCTGCAAAAAGACATTCGTCAATTTCCTCGAAAACTGGACACGTTGTATAAGTATTGTTATGAATTATTCATGAATTCATCATCTTTATGAATATATTTATTTTAGAAAGATTTATGTAATTAGATATAATACTTAAAATGAAGTTGTTCATAGATAAGAAAAATGTGATAACACTTACTTGACTTGCTGCTGCGCGCTTTTATTGATGGTCAAGTTTTGTGCGAGGCTAGCTAGACTGCTGTCCAAATCTCCAGTCAAAACCTTGCCAGTGCTGGCTGCATTGACCGGTTGTCCCGTGGCTGAAACAATATTAAACTCAAGATAGACATATCGGCATTAAATCAGATTGTCCGAATTTCTAAGCAATATCAGGCAAAAATTCGAATGTGGAACAAAGATTTAAAATAAATCGTTTACATAAATTTACAGATAAAAACTATATACTAAATAAAACTAAGCATAATTGCCAAGCAATATTTTCTATTAAAAAAATAATATTAAAAAGATTTCATTTTCTTGATTCTCTATGATAACGTGCACAGATTCTCTAAGCAGAATAATAGAATTATGTATAGTGTAAAATTAATTACAAACATGCTGACTGTTGTAAATAAATTAATTGAATTGCAAATTACGCATAAAGACAAATAACGATTAGAGGTTATCGCGTTCTGTACTACTTAAGCGAAGTGACGTAATCATTTTTCTCTAATAATTTCTTGCGATATTTAGAAAGTTATAAATAACAAGCATGCTTATCTACTCATGAAAACGCTAAAATTAAACAGAATTATCTTGCGTGCTCTTACGTATCTAAATATGCAAACATTTAATACATTTAATACTTGCTGATTAAGCAATATAAATCAAATGTATAAAAAGAGCATTTCTTGGACAATACAAAAGTCCAAAAAAGACATCTTGCAGATCTCTAAAGAATATTTTTTTTTAACTTCATATGTCTCATAGATAACTCGTAGACTTTTATATTGTTTAAGATGCAACACCGATGACATAACCGGGTCAAAAAAGGAAAAAAAAAAAGAAAAAGAAAAAAAAAAAAG